ACCTGTCAGGGGAGCATTTGCAACCTTTTGGCACCATTTTTGAGTGAATTGCCAAAAGTCAGATTTTAGCTGAAATTGTGACCCCGGGGCTTAGGGATTTTTTTAAAAAAATCTTTTTCTGCCGTTTAAGTTGTTGAGGGCTGATTTCTTGTCCTGTGATAAAAAGCCTTCTGTTTCGACCGCCAAAACTTTCAAGGGAAGCATTTGCAACCTTTTGGCACCATTTTTGAGTGAACTGCCAAAAGTCAGACTTTTCTGAAATTGTGACCCGGGGCTTAGGCATTTTTCAAAAAATCTTTTCTGCCGGTTAAGTTGTTGAGGGCTGATTTCTTGTCCTGTGATAAAAGCCTTCTGTTTCAACCGCCAAACCTTTCAGGGGAGTATTTGCAACCTTTTGGAACCATTTTGAGTGATCTGCCAAAAGTCAGATTTTTACTGAAATTGTGACCCCGGGGCTTAGGGATTTTTTCAAAAAAAAAATTTCTGCCGGTTAAGTCGTTGAGGGCTGATTTCTTGTTCTATGATAAAAAGACTTCAGTTTCGACCGCCAAACCTTTCAGGGAAGCATTTCCAACTGTTTGGCACCATTTTCGAGTGAATTGCCAAAAGTCAGATTTTTCCTGAAATTGTGACCCCGGCGCTTAGCGATTTTTTCAAAAAAATCTTTTTCTGCCGGTTAAGTTTTTGCGGGCTGATTTCTTGTCCTGTGATAAAAAGCCTTCTGTTTCGACCACCAAAACTTTTAGGGGAGCATTTGCAACTGTTTGGCACCATTTTTGAGTGAATTGTCAAAAGTCAGATTTTTCTGAAATTGTGACCCCGGAGCTTAGGCATTTTTTCAAAAAATCTTTTCTGCCGGTAAGTTGTGGGGGCAGATTTCTTGTCCTGTGATAAAACGCCTTCTGCTGCGACCGCCAAATTTTTTCAGGGGAGCATTTGCAACCTTTTGGCACCATTTTTGAGTGAACTGCCAAAAGTCAGATTTTTCCTGAAATTGTGACCCCGGGTCTTAGGGATTTTTTCAAAAAAAAAATTTCTGCCAGTTAAGTCGTTGAGGGCTGATTTCTTGTCCTATGATAAAAAGACTTCTGTTTCGACCGCCAAATCTTTCAGGGGAGCATTTCCAACTGTTTCGCTCCATTTTCGAGTGAATTGCCAAAAGTCAGATTTTTCTGAAATTGTGACCCGGGGCTTAGGCATTTTTTCAAAAAATCTTTTTCTGCCGGTTAAGTTTTTGAGGGCTGATTTCTTGTCCTGTGATAAAAGCCTTCTGTTTCGACCGCCAAACTTTCAGGGGAGCATTTGCAACCTTTTGGCACCATTTTTGAGTGAACTGCCAAAAGTCAGATTTTTGCTGAAATTGTGACCCCGGGCTTATGGATTTCTTCAAAAAATCTTTTTCTGCCGGTTAAGTTGTTGAGGGCTGATTTCTTGTCCTGTGATAAAAAGCCTTCTGTTTCGACCGCCAAACCTTTCAGGGGAGCATTTGCAACCTTTTGGCACCATTTTTTGGTGAATTGCCAAAAGTCAGATTTTTACTGAAATTGTGACCTCGGGGCTTAGGCACTTTTTTCAAAAAATCTTTTTCTGCCGGTTAAGTTGTGGGGGGCGGATTTCTTGTCCTGTGATAAAACGCCTTCTGTTTCGACCGCCAAGATTTTCAGGGGAGCATTTGCAACCTTTTGGCACCATTTTTGTGTGAACTGCCAAAAGTCAGATTTTTCCTGAAATTGTGACCCCGGGGCTTAGCGATTTTTTCAAAAAAATCTTTTTCTGCCGGTTAAGTTTTTGCGGGCTGATTTCTTGTCCTGTGATAAAAAGACTTCTGTTTCGACCACCAAAACTTTCAGGGGAGCATTTGCAACTGTTTGGCACCATTTTTGAGTGAATTGTCAAAAGTCAGATTTTTTCTGAAATTGTGACCCCGGAGCTTAGGCATTTTTTTCAAAAAAATCTTTTTCTGCCGGTAAAGTTGTGGGGGGCGGATTTCTTGTCCTGTGATAAAACGCCTTCTGATTCGACCGCCAAATTTTTTCAGGGGAGCATTTGCAACCTTTTGGCACCATTTTTGAGTGAACTGCCAAAAGTCAGATTTTTCCTGAAATTGTGACCCCTGCGCTTAACGATTTTTTCAAAAAAATCTTTTTCTGCCGGTTAAGTTTTTGCGGGCTGATTTCTTGTCCTGTGATAAAAAGCCTTCTGTTTCGACCGCCAAACTTTCAGGGGAGCATTTGCAACCTTTTGGCACCATTTTTGAGTGAACTGCCAAAAGTCAGATTTTTCCTGAAATTGTGACCCCGGGGCTTAGGCATTTTTTCAAAAAAATCTTTTTCTGCCGGTTAAGTTGTGGGGAGCGGATTTCTTGTCCTGTGATAAAAAGACTTCTGTTTCCACCGCCAAACCTTTCAGGGGAGCATTTGCAACCTGTTGGCACCATTTTTGAGTGAATTGCCCAAAGTCAGATTTTTACTGAAATTGTGACCACGGGGCTTATGCATTTTTTCAAAAAATATTTTTCTGCCGGTTAAGTTGTGGGGGCGATTTCTTGTCCTGTGATAAAACGCCTTCTGTTTCGACCGCCAAACCTTTCAGGGAGCATTTGCAACCTTTGGCACCATTTTTGAGTGAACTGCCAAAAGTCAGATTTTTGCTGAAATTGTGACCCCGGGGCTTAGCGATTTTTTCAAAAAAATCTTTTTCCGCCGGTCAAGTTTTCAAGGGCCGATTTCTTGTCCTGTGATAAAAACCTTCTGTTTCGACCGCCAAACCTTTCAGGGGAGCATTTGCAACCTTTTGGCACCATTTTTGAGTGAACTGCCAAAAGTCAGATTTTTGCTGAGATTGTGACCCCGGGGCTTAGGGATTTTTTAAAAAAAATTTCTGCCGGTTAAGTCCTTGAGGGCTGATTTCTTGTCCTGTGATAAAAAGACTTCTGTTTATGCCGCCAAACCTTTCAGGGAGCATTTGCAACCGTTTGGGACCATTTTTGAGTGAATTGTCAAAACTCAGATTTTTTCTGAAATTGTGACTTGTGCTTAGGTATTTTTTCAAAAAAATCTTTTTCTGCCGGTTAAGTTGTTAGGGGCTGATTTCTTATCCTGTGATAAAAAGACTTCTGTTTCGACCGCCAAACTTTTGAGGGGAGCATTTGCAACCTTTTGGCAGCATTTTTGAGTGAATTGCCAAAAGTCAGATTTTTACTGAAATTGTGACCACGGGGCTTAGGCATTTTTTTCAAAAAAATCTTTTTCTGCCGGTTAAGTCGTTGAGGGCTGATTTCTTGTCCTATGATAAAAAGACTTCTGTTTCGACCGCCAAACCTTTCAGGGGAGCATTTCCAACTGTTTGGCACCATTTTCGAGTGAATTGCCAAAAGTCAGATTTTTTCTGAAATTGTGACCCCGGGGCTTAGGCATTTTTTCAAAAAAATCTTTCTCTGCCGGTTAAGTTGTTGAGGGCTGATTTCTTGTCCTGTGATGAAAAGCATTCTGTTTCGACCGCCAAACTTTTGAGGGGAGCATTTGCAACCTTTTGGCACCATTTTTGAGTGAATTGCCAAAAGTCAGATTTTTACTGAAATTGTGACCACGGGGCTTAGGCATTTTTTTCAAAAAAATCTTTTTCTGCCGGTTAAGTTGTGGGGGGCGGATTTCTTGTCCTGTGATAAAACGCCTTCTGTTTCGACCGCCAAGATTTTCAGGGGAGCATTTGCAACCTTTTGGCACCATTTTTGTGTGAACTGCCAAAAGTCAGATTTTTCCTGAAATTGTGACCCCGGCGCTTAGCGATTTTTTCAAAAAAATCTTTTTCTGCCGGTTAAGTTTTTGCGGGCTGATTTCTTGTCCTGTGATAAAAAGCCTTCTGTTTCGACCACCAAAACTTTCAGGGGAGCATTTGCAACTGTTTGGCACCATTTTTGAGTGAATTGTCAAAAGTCAGATTTTTCTGAAATTGTGACCCCGGAGCTTAGGCATTTTTTTCAAAAAAATCTTTTTCTGCCGGTAAAGTTGTGGGGCGGATTTCTTGTCCTGTGATAAAACGCCTTCTGATTCGACCGCCAAATTTTTCAGGGGAGCATTTGCAACCTTTTGGCACCATTTTTGAGTGAACTGCCAAAAGTCAGATTTTTCCTGAAATTGTGACCCTGGTCTTAGGGATTTTTTCAAAAAAAAAATTTCTGCCAGTTAAGTCGTTGAGGGCTGATTTCTTGTCCTATGATAAAAAGACTTCTGTTTCGACCGCCAAACCTTTCAGGGGAGCATTTCCAACTGTTTCGCACCATTTTCGAGTGAATTGCCAAAAGTCAGATTTTTTCTGAAATTGTGACCCCGGGGCTTAGGCATTTTTTCAAAAAAATCTTTCTCTGCCGGTTAAGTTTTTGCGGGCTGATTTCTTGTCCTGTGATAAAAAGCCTTCTGTTTCGACCACCAAAACTTTCAGGGGAGCATTTGCAACTGTTTGGCACCATTTTTGAGTGAATTGTCAAAAGTCAGATTTTTTCTGAAATTGTGACCCCGGAGCTTAGGCATTTTTTTCAAAAAAATCTTTTTCTGCCGGTAAAGTTGTGGGGGGCGGATTTCTTGTCCTGTGATAAAACGCCTTCTGATTCGACCGCCAAACTTTTGAGGGGATCATTTTCAACAATTTTGCACCATTTTTTAGTGAAATTCCAAAAGTAAGATTTTTCCTGAAATTGTGACCTCGGGTCTTAGGGATTTTTTCAAAAAAACTTTTCTGCCAGTTAAGTCGTTGAGGGCTGATTTCTTGTCCTATGATAAAAAGACTTCTGTTTCGACCGCCAAACCTTTCAGGGAGCATTTCCAACTGTTTCGCACCATTTTCGAGTGAATTGCCAAAAGTCAGATTTTTTCTGAAATTGTGACCCCGGGGCTTAGGCATTTTTTCAAAAAAATCTTTCTCTGCCGGTTAAGTTGTTGAGGGCTGATTTCTTGTCCTGTGATGAAAAGCATTCTGTTTCGACCGCCAAACTTTTGAGGGGAGCTGTCAGAGCTGGCTCCAGGTCCCAGCTCACAGAGGACCAACGCTAGCCGGCAGTAATGTACAAAAGTCTTTATTGAAGTACAGTTTCCATTTTCAAGCCGCAGCGCCCCAGCTCTACGTCTAGGGGTTAGATCGGCGAAGCTCCATCTGAGTCTCCGCCTCCTGTACACCAGTTTAAGATTCTAGCCTTACTCCACCTCTTACGTCTCTCCTTTCTCCTCTGGGTCCTGCTACCCCCCGGGGTCCCTTCCTTCCTGGATTCTTCTGACGCTGACGTTGACCCCCCTGACTCCTCCCCCTCTTTTCGGCGGGCTTTGGGACCTGGCTCCCTATCCGGGCTGCCAACTGCGCCGCCCTCCTGTACATTTGAACTTGGCGCGCGCGCCCAGCCTTCAACCTTCCTCTCGACCGTTTCCTCGCTCCCCGATGGAGGCGTGGCCAATCCTGACTCATGTCCTCCCACTGGCAGTGCGCCGCCTGATCCCGATGCCTGGGACCCCTCCCCCCTACTGCACTCTGGTGTGGACGCTGGTCCTGATTTCCAACTGCTGCTCTCTGAGTCCCCTCTGGCCCCTTCTTCCTGGGGTGTCCCCCTCGGCACCCCCCCTTGCTCTGACCAAGGGAGCCCCTTTCTGTGAATCTTCCGATTCGCTGGAAAGACTCAGAGACCTCGGACCGCTGTCATCGCTAACATTTCCTTCGGACTCCTCCCCTCGCTCTCTATTTCCTCCCTTTCCTGTGCCTCTGCTCCTGAACCCCTGACATCCATCCCCCTCGAAGCCCCCCTTCCCCCTCCCCTCCTTCAGGTGTGGGTACTGGGTGCTCCGTCGTTGTGGGGGTGAGTGCCGGATACAGTTCGTCCCCGTGGCGTGCATCCAGCCGGATAAGTCCGGCTCGTCCTCCGTGCTCTCGCCGACCTCAATTTCCTCTGCTTCCATCTCTTTGCCGCCGTGCTCGAACCCAAGGTCCTCCCCCAACACGTCCATGTCCGTCTCTCCCCGGTCTGCTCCGGGGCGTTGCCTGCCAAGGACCCCCCAGCCACTTCCTGCGCCACTGCTCCTCTGGTCGATTGTCCCACCAATAGGAACGGTCTGAGGCAGACCCCGAGGGTGATCCCTCCGGGGAACGTGTTTCTAGTGCCGGTTCCTCGTCCGAGGTGAACCCCTGGAATGTGCTAGCTGAAAATGTGGGTGTGAAAAGCCAGTCGTCGAAATACTCGGCTGGCATGGGCCTGTGTGGGAAAAGGGCATGAAACTCGTCCTTGAGAAAAGGTTCGTCCAAGGCATGGTCTGGCACCCAACTGTTGGCGCTGGCCGGGGTACCTTCTCTGGCGAGAAGATATTCTACTCCCTCTTCCCCCCATCTCGAGTCTAAAATCTCTGTGACTTCGTTGACGGGTTCCCGCCTTGGCGACCCCCCCCTTGTGGGCGTTTCCCTGAACGGGTCTGGTGCCGTTCCTGGCTCCTGAAATCTATGAGGTGCTTTGTAGGGCGTGAGCACTGATCTATGGAAAACTGGGTGCATTCTGGATCCCTCCGGCAGTGTCAACCGGAAGGCCACTGGATTGACCTGTGCCTCGACTTGGTAGGGTCCTAGCTGCTTATGCCCTAGCTTCTTCTTCGCTAACGATCTGGCCGGCACTGCCTGGGCTGCTAACCAAACCCAGTCTCCCACCTGTATGTCTTCCCCAACCCTTCTGTGCTTGTCAGCCTGCAGTTTGTATGCGTGCTTTGCTAGTTCTAACTGCCTCCGAAGCTGTTCGTGAACCTCCTGCAACTCTGATGCTAAGGCTTCCGCTGCCTGTGGCTCCCCCTCCCCGGCTCTCGCTAATCCCGGGAAGGTTCTGGGATGCCTCCCGTTGTTGGCGAAGAACGGTGTCACCCCCGTGGACACGTGCTTCGTGTTGTTGTAGGCGAACTCAGCGAGCGGCAGGTAGTCCACCCATGTTGCCGGCTGCTGATTTGCGTAGCATCGCAGGTACTGCTGCATGATGGCGTTGACTCGCTCCGCTTGTCCGTTCGTCTGCGGGTGTCTCGCCGACGCTAGGTTGATCTTGACGTTCAGGAAACCCATCAGCTTCTGCCAGAAGTTCGAGATGAACTGTCGCCCCGGTCGGACAGGATAGACCGTGGCAGACCGTGAACCCTGAACACGTGGTCTATGAACAGTTTGGCGGTCTGTTCCGCCGTGGCCACCTTCGCGCACGGAATGAAGTGGGCCATTTTGGTGAACATGTCCACCACCACTAGCACTGCCGTCTTGCCCCTCGAGCTGGGTAGATCCGTGACAAAGTCCAGGGCCACCCTCTCCCACGGTTCGAGCGGTGTCTGCAGCGGTTCGAGCAGTCCCGCCGGCGGTTTGTGCACTGACTTGGCCCTTTGGCAGGTGTCGCACCTCGAGACGTAATCCGCGACTTCCCCCGCATCTTGGGCCACCAAAAATCTCTGGCTACTAATTCTACCGTCTTCTCTTTGCCAAAGTGCCCGGCGGTGGGTGCGTCGTGCAACTGCTGCAGTACTTTCGCGCGGAGGTCGTCTCCCGGTACGTAGAGGGCCCCTCTGCGGATGAGCAATCCGTCGCGTATCTGGAACTCGTCGTCCTCCGCCGTGCCCCTTTGCACCTCTGCCATCTTTGCTTGCGCGAAGGGGTCCTCCTGCAGTGCTCGACGTACAGCATCCAGGTCCACGGTTGCTGAAGCGCACGCCCACGCTTTCGGTGCGAAAATGTGCTTGGCCGCTGCTGGTGCCGCCTCCTCGAGGTATTGCGGCTTTCTGGACAGTGCATCCGCCATGATGTTGTTGTCGCCTGGGATGTACTCTATCCTGAAGTCGAAATCCGCAAAGAACTCCGCCCATCGTATGTGCCTCTGGTTCCAGGAACCTTGCCGTGCGCCAGTACTCCAGGTTTTTATGGTCCGTGCGGACCTGCACTGTGTGTTTGGCTCCAATGAGGAAGTGCCGCCACGCCTTGAATGCTGCATGAATGGCCAGCAACTCCCTGTCCCAGATGGTGTAGTTCTGCTCTGACTTGCTGAGCTTCCTGGAGTAGAAGGCACACGGTCTCCAGTCCCCATGCGGGTCTTGCTGCAACAGTACTGCTCCCACGGCTCTGTCTGAGGCGTCCGTTTCAACCCTCATCGGTCTGCTGGGATTCACATGCAGTAGCTGCTCTTCGGACGAGAAGAGACGCTTGAGTTTCTGAAAGGACTGCTCCGCTTGCTCCGTCCAGATGAACTTCTTCTTCTTGGAGCTGAGCGTGTCGGTAATGGCCGCCGTCTGCATCGCGAACCCCTTGATGAACTTGCGGTAAAAGTTGGCGAAACCGACAAACCGCTGGACCTCCTTCCGATTGCGCGGGCTCTTCCAGTCCAACACTGAGCGAACCTTGGCGCTGTCCATGGCGAGCCCCTTGTCCGACAACTTGTAGCCCAGGAAATCTACCTCCTTCATGTCGAACTGGCACTTCTCCAGCTTGGCGTACAGCCTGTGCTCCTGCAGTCTCTGCAGAACTTCCTTGACGTCTCCCTCGTGGGTCTCCTCTGATTCTGAAAATATCAGGATGTCGTCCAGGAAGCAGACGCATTTCTTGTAGAGGAGACCCGCCAATACGTGATGCATGAAGGCTTGAAAACAGTGGGAGCCATTTTGTAATCCAAAGGGCATAACTCTGTATTCATAGGTGCCCAGGGGCGTGAACATGGCAGTCTTCCATTCGTCGCCCTCCCGTATGCGAATCAGGTTGTACGCCCCTCGCAGATCCAACTTTGTGAAAACGCGTCCTTTCCTCACCGTTGCGAGCAGGTCATCTATCTTGGGCATGGGAAAGGCTGTGGGCTTGGTTTTCGAGTTCAAAATTCTATAGTCCACCACAAGCCTTTTTGGGGCGTGTCCTTCTTCTTCACAAAGAATACAGGACTGCCCCCACTGCCTTCGACTCCTGGATGAAACCGCGCTTCAAGTTGAGGTCTATGAACTCCTGAGTTCCTGCAGCTCGTCTTCAGACATGGAATACAGTTTCCCGGTTGGCAGCGTCGCCCTGGCAGGAGGTCAATCTTGCAGTCATAGGACCTGTGGGGAGGTAGCTTGTCCGCTTCCTTCTCGCAGAAAACCTCCAAAAACGCTGCGTACTTGAGTGGCACTGCTTGCAGCGTGCCTAATTGTAGCTGCGGGTCATCCTCTTCCCCTTCCGGGCTAGGCAGAATGCAATGTTCCGCACAGTATGAGGAGCCGAAGGTCAGTTGTCGCTGGTACCACGCCAATGCTGGGCTGTGCCTGTGCAGCCAACTCATGCCTAATACTATAGGCGTGTCCGACAGTTGGGTGACATTGAAGCTGATGACTTCTCGGTGATTCCCAATTTGCATCACCATCGGAGGCGTTTGCTGCACCACCTGCCCCCAGCAATTCCCTGCCATCCACCGTGACAACTTTCAGAGGCAGCGTGGCTGGCAGGAGTGCTATGTTGTGCTCTTGAATGAAATCCAGTCCTATGAAGTCTGCGTTACTACCAGAGTCAATGGTAATCGGCACTTCCATAGTGAGTCCATTGGGTAGTTGGAGCGATGCTGTGAGCTGCACCACTGGTTTGGGCGGGAGGGGGTCTGTGGGCTGCAAAATCTCTGGGGACGGCTTCATTGACTTGTCTGGCTGGGCCCCAGTGCCTCTTCCTCCAACCAGACTCTGTCGTTTCCCTGCTGTGGTTCTCTCTGCTGAGTTGCGTCTGTTACTGTTGCTGAGGCTGCAGTGTGCTTGTGGAGCCTCTGGGGACACTCTTTCGCCATGTGCTGAGCACTGTCGCAGATGTAGCACTTCCTGTTCCCTCTAGGAGGCTTCGCTTTGACTGCTCCCGGTGTTAGGGCTCTGGTTGCTGACTGAGCCCTGGCGCCTCCAATCTCCATCGGTTGCTCTCCCCTCCTTGCGGAGGTGGGGATTGCACACGCGCTGCATCCTTGGGAAAGAGGGAGGTGCTCTCACTGGCGTACGTCCCCAACGTCCTTCTTCTCTGTTCCATGGACGTTCTTCCAGACGCACCCCAATTTGCAGCGCCCGCCGGACAACCTCCTGAGTGCTCTTTGGTCTCTCCCCCCTTGCAATCTCATCTTTCACATTTGCATTCAAGCCTTCCCAAAAAGGTCTCTGGCTGGGGCAGAATCCTTCTCCCATCCCAGCGCATGGACTAATGCAAAAAGCGGGAATGGTACTGCCTTACACTGGCTCTGCCTTGTTTGAGCCCATGTATGTCTTTTCTGGCGATATCAATGTCTATATTTGATAAAAAACACGAATCCATCGCTTTAATGAATGCATCCGCATTTTGGAGCGCCGGATCCTTATCTCTCCACAGATTGCGCAGCCACGCTTTAGCTTCCCCATGCAAATGGGACAAGATAAACCCCACCTTCTCTTGCTCATCTCTAAAGTCTTTATCCAGCAGTTCCAGCGCAAACAGCACGTCTGCTCGGAAGTTAGGGTACTGCTGCAAATTCCCATCGAAATGAGATACCAGGCTGCCTCCTCTTTTCCCCAGCCCAATCCCCTCTGATTTGGGTCCCGGTTGCCCCTGCTTAGCAAGCACTTCCAACCTGGCTTGGAGATCCCTGCAGGCGGCAGCCGCTTCCTCTTCCCTTTTCCTGGATGCGAGTACCTCCGCGTTGAGTTGTGTCACTGCATTTTGCAGGGCTGCTAGTTGCTGTTCTGTAGTCATCTTGCCTGACTTTTGTGAGCTCGCGAAGCACCAATCTTCTTCCCTCGCTGCGTCCACTCAC